ATTGCGGGAGAATATTACTAAGATCAGTAATATTTTATTTATTTTCACAAAATGGACAACATTTGCAACATGAAGATTTGGTGATGGAATATGAGCTACTTATATATCTTCGAGCGTTGCAGGAAGAGCGTAACGCTCTTTTTATTTTAGCTACAGCGGAAAAAACGCAACGCTCTTTAGCTATTTCTAATTATAGTATTTTGTACTGTTGCGGATTTTTCGAAACGTTTTTGCTATTACTGCGCTTGTTGCGCGGATAAATATTCGATGTGTCGTTTGCTGATTGCGGAGGATTTTATCATGTGACTTACTTATCTTTAGCTTGCCGTAATAGTAACATAAGAATAACCCCTTCTGCTCCACAAATAACACATGGTCCAACAAGTTTCTTCTGGGAGTATACTCCATTCTGTCATCTTATTTGAAGTTGCCTAGCAATATTGGCTTGCAGTTGAGAGTCAGTGATGGTAGAGTTTATTTGTGATTTGCTGTTGATCCAAGCCCGACATGATTGAGTATGATAAGAAGTTTCTTGGTTTGAAGAAGGCGTAGATAGCCTGGATGCTAAAGGTTAGGGTTTGTGGTTTAGTGCTAAAAAGTGAAAGCCAGAAAGGCAACTTGCAGGATTAACAGGATCACTTCTTTATAAGAATAACGTGTAAAAAACTTTTTTTATATCTATAATGATACACAATTGGATTACAGCCAATCACGCAATGTTCTAGGAAAGGGGAATGTATGCCTCATTGCTTTTAAATAACCAAATAACCTACGCAGAACAATTCTCGTGCGTTTCTCGTAATAGTAAATAAAAAAATACAAGTTCGTCGCGACTAGGTCGATATCGTGCGCATTTGCCAAATGGAAAGAATAAATCGGAGCGTGCATTTAGGAAAGGATGCATTTACTTTTACGGAGGGATGCATTTTATTGATTCGATAAAAATATTAGTATGTTTATTTAATGCTGAAAATTTCATCTATCGTTTTTGCTTTAAACCAATGCACTCTCACACGTTTTTTAGAGTTTTGTTGTTGCAGGAATGAACGTACGGTTTAGTCTCATTATCATAACGATTCGAATAAAGACACGACAAATTCTGATAGGCTTTTGCAGTATTTGATGATAGTATTTGATGATAGTATTTTTTAAGTGTCTTATAAACGGTGCTGGTATTAGTATTAGTATGCCTAAATAAAAATAAGGATCGCTGAATCTTTGAGTAACCATCTCCTTTGTACACTCATCCAATCGTCTCATTGTCCTACAATAAAAACAGAATATCCAATCGTCTTGTAGACATCCACGGGAGAGCGAGCATTTATCAACTATCGTTGCATTTATCTCTAATTCCCGAGCTTGGGAATAAGGTAAGCCGTGCATTTATAGGTATGCATTTATGGGTATGCATTTATGGAGGGTGCATTTGTGGTGGGTGGGTGCGGTTGACTGTAAATATTTTAAACCAACGGCTGATACGAGCGTCATCGAATTGATCACGTCCCAATAGTCATAAATGCTTTCGCACTTGCGTCTATCTAGGCCTTCAGTGAAACCAATAGTTCTGTTAGCTGTTTTATCTAGACTTTTTGTTTGGATCCTTGCATTCCTGTCTTCATATGCTCTCGATGACTACGACTCGGCGGCAGATGTATTGTTCGAGGCCGACTCGTCGTTGCAGAAATTATTCAACTTGACATTTCGCGCATTCTTGCGTTGGGATGCGTTTTATTTTTTACATTTGGCGGAAGAAGGTTATGTCTATGAACAAGAACATGCATTCTTTCCCGTCTTGCCCCTAGTCATTCGCTTCTTTGGAAATTATGGTAAAAGTGTTCAAATAAATCAAGCGTAGCCTTCACATTTTTATATGTTATTCATATGAACGGTCTGCTCACCTTACCCTATGGCGGATTGTATATTTAACCCTCAGTCCTGTGGCCGTTAGAATGGTTTCTATTAAAGAAACAAGTATTGCTCCTTGCCGGTATTCTAGTGTCCAATATCTCCTTTGCATTTGCGACGGGCATGATATACAAGTACGCGTTTCTCTATTTTGCAATTCCTACATTATGGCTATCCTTACAAAGACTGATTACTGTGTTTTTTAAATTCCTTCAGACTGACCTTATCCATGTCCAATGATCACAAGTTTTCTCTCATCACTGCTCTGTTTTACATTCTCACACCATCAAACATCTTCATGTCGTCATTGTACACTGAAAGTTTGTTTGCCCTTTTGAGTTTTATGGGAATGCGATGGGTAATTCAGGGAAATTTCTGGAAAGCTGCCTTGGTTTGGTCCGTGGCATCCGGTGTAAGGTCAAACGGAATAATATACGTAGGCTTTTTCGTATTTGAACTCTTGAAAAGCCATGCGGTCGGATGTAATGTAAGTTATAGTATAGCGTGTGTCTAGTGTTTACTCGCTGTGACTAATCATTGACGAGCTGTTGCACCTGTTTGTATTAGCATCTCATCAAGAAAACCCTGTTAACTGTTCTGTATAGTTTTATTACTTCACTTGGGTTTATAATTTTTGAAATTTATGGCTATTATCAGTATTGTTATTTACATTCGCCAAAGCGACCTTGGTGTGATTCAAATGTGCCGTTGAATTATCCATTTATACAGAAACATTACTGGTGAGCCATAATATCGATTGTATTTCCACCGATTAGCACCCATTAATATCTCGTTATCCTTAGGGCTTGCGGATTCCTGACTTATTATGAAGTGAAACAGATTCCCAACTTTCTGTTAGCATCCCCTATGATTGTGCTTTCATTGTGCGGCATATACACGTATTCGAATTTTGACCGGCAGAGATTTCTTTGTTTAGGATTTCGAAGAACGAAATTATTGGTTGAAGGTAAAGTCTCCGAATTCTCTTGGTTTGCCAGCAGATGTACTTGTCTTGGCGTATTCTAACGCGTATACTTGGCGTGGCTTAGATAAAAATCAACCAACAGTAGTCGAAGGCAAGACCGCATCTTCGCCTTATTTCAATTCAAACATTCTACCATTCATTTATTTATGGGCCATTCTCCTGTTCTATGCTGTAACGTCTATGCACGTTCAAGTAATAACACGATTTTTCTCCTCTCTACCACCAGTCTATTGGTTTGCTGCGCACCTTGCATGTTCTAAACAACATGATTACTGGTCGCGTGTTGTGCTAACATATTTTGTGGTGTATGGTCTGGTGGGAGTAGCCTTATTTGCGAACTTTTTTCCGCCTGCCTAAATTATTCATTTCTCGAGTGTCATGTTTAACAATACTGTAGATGCATTCTGGACCTTACAAATTACAAATGGTTTACTTATAGACTTTGTGTTCTCGGAAGTGAATGAGATAACCGATTTTTCGTGAAAGAAGTGACAACAACTATTTGAGTTTGACAATAGGTTAGTGATTTGATCCAATTGCATTAAGTATATCGAATTGCTATGTTCAACATTTGATACTGTACACCTAAATGTCTGAGCTCATCTCATGAGCTAAAATGTGAAATGTAGGTACGGATAACAAGCTATAGTTACTATAGTACAGATCAATTCACATTTTTTCTAAACTACATGGCACTTTTTTGGGTCACCATTCCTGTTACACAGGCCAAGTATGTTGTCTCTTTTTATCACCTTTATCGTTATGGTCAGATTATTTTAATTTGCTAAAAATGGGGGATGTGGCTAAAGGGCACACTAATTTAGATAATGATGTTTTTGGGAAGGCGTGTGGCACAATACACAACTGTGACTCAGGTGCAACCCACAAACTAATTTTTTAAGACAAACATGTTTATTGTTACGGCAAGCTGATCTGATGAATCAGATAAGTAAGTCACATGATAAAATCTTCCTCCGTAGTCAAACAAACTCACAATCGGCACTAATTTTAGTTCAGTAATACAAACTAATATTAATTTGGTAGCGTGTCGCTAATTGCGCAGCAACGTGTCGAAAAATATGTGACAGCACAAACGCTAAAAATAATTGTTCTTCATAGTATATAATTTATATA